GGCGCTGCTCGCGAGGCGCGGCCAATCAGCGGCGGCGCTGCGGCGGGGGCGGGGCCCCGCGGGAGCGGGAAGATGGCGGCGGGCGGAGGCGGCGGCCCCGGCCCCGGAGCGGGGCCCAGCGGGGGCCCCGGGGGCCGCAGGGGCAGCGCGGGCCGGGACGCGGAGGCCGAGGTTTGGTGCCGGCGGGTGCGGGAGCTGGTGAGCGCGGCCCCCGCCAACCGACTCTGCTTCGAGTGCGGCCAGCGCGGCGTCACCTACGTGGACATCAGCGTGGGCAGCCTCGTGTGCACCGCCTGCTCGGGGGCGCTGTGAGCGGGGCCGGGGCAAGTGGGAGGGCGGAGTCACAGCAGGGGCGGGGCCAAGATGAGCACTCAGTCAGTGATTGGCTGCGTCCGCTGGGGGCGGGGCTTACGGGAAGGGGGCGGGGCCCAAGCACGTGCTTACCCCTGGCGTCGTCCATAGTCCCGCGTTTTAGGGGGAAAAAACTCCTTTTAGGGGGTTTGTCGGCGCGGGGGCGGCGCTGACCCCCAGAATCCCCTCCCCAGGCGGGGGCTGAACCCCCCCCCACCGCGTCAAGTCCATCTCCATGACGACGTTCAGCGAGGCGGAGGTGCTGTTCCTGCAGGAGCGCGGCAATGAGGTAACGGGAGGTGGCAGTGGGGGCTCCGCCCCCTCCCTCTCGCCCCGCCCACCTCACCCTGTCCCCCCCAGGTCTCCCGACGGGTCTGGCTCGGCACCTTCGACCCCCGGATCTCGGAGCTCCCTGACTCCCGGGATCCCCAGAAGGTCAAGGAGTTCCTGCAGGAGAAATACGAGAAGAAACGATGGTATTGGGGGGGTTGGGGGTACCTTTTGCGGGCAGCAGGACAGCGTGGGCACACCCCCATCGTTGTGCCGCTCCCCCCACGGCAGGTATGTGCCCCCAGAGCAAGTGAAAGCCCCCCAAAGCACCACGGAGCCCCCCCAGCTGCTCCTGGGGGACACGGGGACACTGCCACAGGTGAGACTGGACCGGTTTTAGGGGTGCCCGGGAGGGGGGTTCCACCCCTGACCTCTCTGTGCCCCCCTCCAGCCCCGCCCAGCCGCCCAAAGACCCCCCCAGCCCCCCCGAAAATCCAGCACCGACCTCCTGGCAGACATTGGGGGGGACCCCTTTGCCACCCCCACCCTGGGACCCACCTTCGCCGCCTTCCCCGGTGAGCTGGGGGGGCTGGGAGGGTCCTGCTCACACACAGAGGGGCTGGTGACCAGCAGGTCGCTGGATCTGAAGCCCTGGGGGGCCTTTGGGGTGACTCTGAGCCTCCCCAGGCCCAGCCCAGCCCCACTCTGCCTTCCCCCGTTTCGATGCCTTCGGAGCCACCCTGGGAGCACCCACGTTTGGGGGGGCTGGGCCCCCCTTCCACACCCCTCCCACCGCCACAGGTACCCCAGGGCCTCCCGGGACTCCTGGGAAAGGGGTTTGGGATCACCCTGGCAGGGTCTAGGGAGGGGCTGGGAGTCCCCACACACCCTTGGGGGGCTCGGGATTAATGGGAAGGGGGGAGATGGGGTCCCCTCATTCCTTGTGGGGGGCTGGGGAGGGGTTTGGTGTCCCCACGGTACCCGTGGGGCTCATGGAGAAGGATTTGGGAACCCCTGGGACCCTCAGGACTAATGGGGAGGGGGTTTGGGGCTCCCTCCCACCCATAGAACTCCCAGGATTAATGTGGCCATTAATGGGGTCCCCAGAGAGGGTTAATGGGGGCTTTGTCCCTCTCGGGGGTCCCAGGGGGTTTTTGGGGTGTCCCGGTGTGTTTGTCTCTCCCACCCACAGGAATCGCTGCTGCTCGGGGTGGGGCCACCTCAGCCCCGCCCACAGGGGGTGGAGCCTCTTCCAGGTACCACCCCCCTCCTTTCCCCCCCCCCCCCGGCGGGGGGGGGGAGGATCTGCCCCCCCCCCCCCCCCCACTCACCCCTCCTCCCCCCCACAGCCTCTTCGGGACCCTGGGCCCCCCCCCCAGCTCCACCCTATGGGGGTAAGTCAGGGTTCACCCCCCCATTGGGGCCCCTCAAAGTGAGGGGGGGCCCCGGGGTGACCCCTGTGCCCCCCCCCAGGCTACACCAACCCCTTCGTGACCCCCCGGCCCTCCACCAACCCCTTCCAGAGCAACGGCCCCGGTGAGTGACCCCCCTCCCTGCACCCCCCACACCCACCCTGGGCCGGGGTGGGGTCTGGGGGGGCCCCATTTCTGTGTCCCCTCCTTCAGGTGCCGCTTTCACCACCCCCTCGGTGCCCGGGGGGTTCCCCAGCCCCTTCCAGGCCGATGGTAAGAGCTGGGGGGGTTGTTAAATATTGGGGGTGTTAAATATCGGGGTACCCTCTTCCCCCCCCACACTGACCCCTCATTTTGCCCCCCCAGCGTCGCCTTTTGGTGGGTTCAGCGTTGCCAAAGCCTCCACCAACCCCTTCGTGGTAAGGAGGGGGCTGAGGGGGGGGGTCCTGACCCCCCTCTCTGCCCCTGACATCCCCCTTTTTTATTGTCCCCCCCCCCAGACGGCCCCGACAGCCCCGTTGGGCATCAGGCACCCGACCACCAACCCCTTCCTATAGCGGCCGCCCCGGGGTGGGGGGGGCTCGGCCCAGGCCGCCCCCAAATCGTGGGGGGCTCCCCCCCCCGCCTCCGCCAGGACCAGGTTTTATTTTTATTTTGAGAGATTTATGGCGAGATCTTAATATATATTGGATAGAAACAGCTCCGGTCTCGGCACCTCCCTCGAGCCGAACCCCCGCTAAGGGGCCTCATCCCCCCCCAAAATCCCAAATTCGGGGCGACCCCGGGTTGGGGTGGGAGGGGCTTTGCCCTCACTAAAGATGGCGCCCGGGGGCCCTCACCCGGCCCGCTCTGCCCTCAGCCAAGATGGCGGCGCCCTGGGTTCCGCTCGGGGGGAATGGCCGCCCGCCCTCAACAAAGATGGCGGCGCCAGCGCGGCTTCACCCCCTCAGCCAATGAGAGCGCCGGGTCTGCGCTGGGGGCGGGGCCGCGCTGAGGGTTGGGGGGGGCTGGAATTAGGGGGGGTCCCGGGGTGGGGGGACCCCCAAAAATCCCCCCGGGTTCGGCTCCTCCAGCACCTGCTGGGGCAAGGGCGTAATTAATTAGCGGGGGTTAATTAGAGGAGGGGGCACAGCACAGCGTTGGGGGGAGAGGCCCCGTTTGGGCACAGAAAAGGCAAAAACGGACAAAAAGGGACAAAACCGGACAAAAACACAAAAAGCTGAGCAGATGAGCAGCGGGGGAGGGGCGGGACTGAGCCCTCCCCAAAACTAGTGACCCCCCCCCCGGTTTTACCAGACCTCAAACCCCCCAAAAGTCACACGGAGACAGGGATGTACCAAGTATAATTTTGGGGGGGGTGTGACAATACTTAGAACAATGATTATTATAATTAATTATAATAATCAGATAATAATAATAGTTAAATAGAATAATTTTAATAATAATTATAATAAATTTGGGTCATCGTGTGCATTTTTTTTTTAACATCCTCTCAGAACAATTAATTTACACTTAATTATAACCATTAACTCATTACGCTCGTGGTCGTTTATAACAACTCACCATAATTATAATAACTCATTATAATAACAAGTCATTAAAATAATAAATCATTAAAATAATAAATCATTAAAATAATAAATCATTATAATAATATTATAATAACTCATTATAATAGCAGCCTCATTATAATTATAATAGCTTGTAATAATAACTCATTATAATTAATTATAATAATAATTAAGGGGAAGGTCTCACCCTGGAGAGGGTGAAGGGGGGGGGTCACCCCCTCCCGCCCCCCTCCCTGCCTCAGTTTCCCCAGCGTTAAGGCACAAGAAAGGGTGGGGGGAAGCGTGGAAAGGGGGTTCCCTGGGGTTTGGGGGGGTTCCCCCAGGGTTTGGGGGGTTCCCTGGGGTTTGGGGGGTT